AGAGCATCTGGACTCCATCCATGTTGTAATTATGCCACCAACAAGAACCACAAAGGCATATGTCAAGAGAGAAGATTTTCATTCACTTAATGTACAAGTCATGTCTGAGCACATTAGACAGGTTTGAAAGCATCCAATGTGCTTCAGATCTTCAAGCATCAAGGTTGATGAAACGCTTGCTCCTGGGACACACAGGATACATCTGCTACAGAGCCTTGTAACATCAGCACAAAGAAGATACAACCAGGAGCATAAAAGGGACAGAGAAAAATATCTTGGTCTTAGCTGTAAGACCATTGTCATTAAAATTTAAAAGCAATGCATAGAAAATTTGGAAAACTCTTATTTTCGGTTATGATTTGCAAGATGGTTTTCTGTCGTATTCAAGAACTTAGGAAATCGATTCCATATTTAAGAAGTTTTCCAAAATTTTGCACAAATATCTTAAGGCTAAGGCCATAGGAAATTTGTTCTGAATACACATTTCTTCTGAGTATCAATATACAATTAGATCCACTTGAAACAAATCAGATATCAAACCTGTATTACAATGCAAAACTTTTTGGAAATAAGAGAAGAAACATTTGGGAACATATGCAAAGATGTACAAACTATGTACAACACAGAAACAGGTCACTGGGCCTAACCAGTCTGTGTCTGTAATGGGAAGGCAGTAGGATGGTTATTCTGGAAAGATAAGATCAAACGAGTCAAATGGTCGTCTTCATCTAAATCTCTTTTGCAATCATGTGATTATTCTGTAAAATATGTCAAACCAAATGGGGTGCTTTTGTACTGATTGATGCAGACAAAATGTTTTTTTGAATCATGGGTGTGGGGTAGATGCATGCAATAGATGCACATTATCAAATAGTCTCAGGACTTGAAAAGTTCAACATGTCACATCGCTGACGTTTCAGGGATAAGCTTCAAGGTTCAAAGCTAAAAGTGGACCAACAAATGACATGAAGTCAATGTTTTGAGGTTTCTGTTATGTCATTATGACCTATAAAAAGAAATGAGTTGTTTTCATTTTAGTAAGGATTAAAGTACACATCTATTAAAGACTTAAACTTGCATACTGAAGTTAATATTTTGCTTAAACTTAAATTTGAATAATTTTGTTCTTGTATTTGAAAAATAATTAAGGTTAATATAAGAAACACAACAGTCATAAAACAATGTAATGGACAATTAGACCCAGGTAGAATTTATACCCAACTATCTTGGTTAATGACATAATTTGCATTCCTCAATAAAATTATTTTGTGCTATTTTATAGACTAATTATACTAACTATTTCTCAGTGAACACTTAATTGTATTATAATTGTTAATTTTCTCTAGTGGCTTGTCCTAATGATGTAGGATTGATATTGGTAGTAACACATACTCCTCCACTCATTGGGAGCAAGGATATTTCCCATTTGGTTCCTGTTAACCCTGCAAGCCATAGCCTGAATGGTTAGGGTGGTCCTAGATGAACAAGCAGTGTGCAGCTTGCTAGACAGTGCTTTCAACAGCAAGCTGTGTGTTTTAAGTCAGCGCACTCTGGTGTCTCATGCCTTGGCACTTATCAACATGTGCTTCATATTCTTCAGAATTCAGTAAGTGAGATGTGTCCCTTCAGGGAGAGAGTATGCATTCCAAACAGGGAAATTTCTATATGTACCTGTTATACGTATGTGAAACGCTCAGTCCAGTTGAATACTCTTTAGCATGGTGATGGATTTCTGCATGTGTCAAGACACCTGGCTGACCAAAAAAAATTGCGGAAACAAAACAAATTTAAATAATACATTACACATTCCCCCAAAAATAAACCATTGGACATTTTAAAGAGAAAATACTAACGAATGATATAAAGCTGTATTCAACTCTGTTCAGTTGATGGTTATGATGAAGTACTGTACTTTTACAGTTTAAAAGCTATATGAACTCTTTTAATCACTTAAATATATAATATTCTCTGTTTAATTATTCGACATTACAAACCACTTATAAAACCATAGAAATTTACATCACATAAAGGAGGCTATTTGTCCATCATACCTGTGTCAGCTTATCTGAAAGTATTATCCATTTACTCCTTCAACTTTCCCCTTATCCTTTTCTAATTTTTCTTTCTATCTAATCCCTATTTTAAAAGCTATTGTGGATTATGTTTCAGACAGAGTATTCTATGTGTTAATAACCCCCTGTTTGTTTTATTAAAGATAATATTCTAACCTCTTTTGTTTTATTGGTGATCATAAATGTATACCCTTTAGTTTCTGACCCTCCAACCAATGGGAATAAACTTTTTTTTAAAAGAAAAAGATGCTTTTTTTTTTATCAATGCTGTACATAAAATGTGCTAGAAATGTTTGTGCTGGTACCCAGGAGCTGAGTATGAATTTAGTGTTGGTCTTGTTACCCAATTTAAAGTAAATTGAAATGATTTAAATGTACTACTTTCACCAATGAAAATAGACTTGGCATTATTGTACTTATGGCAATAAAGAGTGTGAAGTGGTGGCTCAAACAAGACACAGAGGATGCCATTTCATTGAAATAAAATATAAAAGTATTGATGATTCAGTGAAAAAGCGTGTACTGAAAATGCAACTAATGTTATTGACTACAGAACATGATAAAACGACATGGGCTATTATTATGAAGAAAAAAAATTGTTAAATTGCTCAGAACTGCAAATGGATTTATGACTTGAAAAAGGATACTGAACGTCAGCAATGTATACAACGCGTAGGTAAACTAAAAAAGACATCAGCGCAACCAGGGAATATTTCTCAGCATCTGACGAGATATTAGTCAAACTGGAAGTTCCAAGATGGTAGCATCAAATCCTACTGGGCAATGTGGTAAAATTATATAAGTTATTCTTCTTGTATGTTGTGGTTAGTAATATTAGCATAACAATGTCTATCTGCTAAATGGGATGCTTTGTCAAGTTAGCAGCAGCCTCTCCTCTTAGGCAGATCCTGGTGTGTTCAATTCCCACTTTAGGACTTAACCGCATTGTCCAGGCTGACATTCAAGTGCAGGAGTGTTCCCAATACTGGTGCGGGGTGGAGCTTGCTTAACTTTGCAAATGCCTCCTTTGGATGATGAGATGTTTAACCAAGGTCCTGTCTGCCTGGCTGTTCAAAGATCCCATGACACTATTCAAAAAGAGAAGGGAGTCCCTTCCGATGGCTTGGCCAGCAATCCTCAAGATAAATTGTCCATTTATCTAGCTGCTTGTTCCTATATGGAAAATAGCTGCCATTACTTCAAAAACCGTTATTACACTTGATTGTAAATCCTGTGAAGCACTATGGGATGTTTCAACATTGAGTGTTTATTAAAAATGCAAGTTCTTCTAAATAATGCTTGCTACGAGTTTGGGTCAGTAATAATATCAGCATACAATGTCTATCTGTTTGTTTATAGTCCCAAGCTCAAAAATTCAACAATGTCTCCACAAATAAGTTCACCTATCCGCCAACACTGAATCTCTTCAAGGACACATCTCCATTTCAGAAGAGAAAGACATCTGATTAAGATGGCAAATCATTTGTGTATGTGTCTACAGTTGATGGGTGCTGTGCCTGTAATATACACACAGAGTATTGTTATGTTATCAAGAGAACAGCATTTGGGAAGCTCGCAAGAAAAATTGCGAGCTGAACGACTCCCACTGCAGTTGACTTGTACGAATCTGAGAGATACTATTTTTATTTAGACAGGCATTTAATGAAGGCAACCACACTGTGCATATTTTTGTGCATATGAGTAGAGTGCATGGTAACAGAATTGTACTTGTAATTTTGTTCTGATTTTTAAAATTAAACACCAGTTTTACCATTTATTTGCCTTGAGTGTTTTTATTTAGTTTGGCTTTGATGCGTATATCGAATATTCAATGTGTGGTTTGTCAATTTTGCAATTTGTGGAATAGTTGTAGAGTACCCAGAATTTTAAAATGGAATTCATTGTTGGAATTGTAAACTGTGTTGACTTTCAGTATCAATGCAGAAACAAAGTATATGCAAATAGCTTAATTGGAAATACTGTAATGCAGAAACGGAAACTGTTTACAAATCTTTGTATTGTTTCCTAATGTGCCTGAATGCAAGCTTTCCAGACTGATTTACAGAATATTATCAACAATAAGCATAGTGATGAACGTGTAGGCTGTAATAACCTTGTGCAATTTTGATGATGGGATAAGGGGTTTGACATATTGGAAAGTGGCTGAATTACTTGATTTGAAAGAAAGACTAACATAGAAAAATGTTTTACTGTCCAAATAAAATAGCGTTTTCTACAATTAAAGACTAAAAATGCTAGAAGTACCCAGCAGCACCTGAAAGACAAGGTTGAGTTAACAGTTCAGGGATTACCCTTCATTAGAACTTTATTTTTCTGGGACTGTGAATAGATGGGTGAAATCTGAAACATTCTGCTCTGCAATGAAAGGTTAGACTGGTGAAAGGCGATCAATCTGAAGAAAGAGCTGGTGTCGGAACAGCTTGATAGCCTCTTTGATTGATTAATGGAGATCAGAAGAAGTATAACCCTGGAAAGTAGTACATCTCCTAAGTGTTACTGCTCTTTAGGGAGAATTGACATTAGTTTACAATTTTTTTTCTATAAATGGTTTCATAATCAATTAATGTAAATATGTTATTAATTTGTACAAATGGATAAAAAACCTTTTAATTCAGAGTATAATTTTAATGAAAGAAACATAGTATTTTTTTCATTTTAAATATCATGCTGAGGATTTCAATATTGGCTGATGCATGTCCTTTTGATATTTATGAAGAACTTAATTATGTGCTCTCCCCATGAAGGAAATGTCTATGTATCAAGGGACTGTAAGTTTTCAGTGCCTGATTAAACAGACATTAATTTGATTCATTTTCTTGTTATCCAAGCCACCTGTCAACTGCATAAAGCTCAGAATCATTGTTCATGTTTATAGTGTTCCTCAAATGTTGTCTTTTTTCTATGCAGTGTCTATGAACAAGACAGAAATGCACTGCGAAGAAAGGAATGGGAAAGGAGAAACCAAGAGGCTCACCAGCTTGATGAAACTTTTAACACTGATTATCCTCTCTTTAGTGAGCCATATAAGGTATATGTCTGCTGAACATCTCTTATATTTTCCACAGACAATGCCTTTGTACAGTCCAGATCAATTGATAATGTTTCTGTTACTAACCTTGAATGTTTTATTAATTGTACTTTTTTAAAAAAAAAACTTACATTATTATTTTGGTAACGGTGTAGAAATAGTATTATTTTATCACATGCTTTTTGTTATTTTTTTCCAGACTAACAAGGGAGATGAACTGTCGAGCCGTATTCAAAATACGCTAGGAAACTATGATGAAATGAAAGACCTATTGACTGATAGGTCAAATCAGAGTCACCTTGTAGGCATTCCCAAAACTGGCATTTCACAAACTCCAATTGAAAGTATTGATCAACATTTATTTCAAGACTCAAGAAACCTGATGCAATGTCCTTTTCCTAGCAACAACAGCTCTACATCGACCGTGCTCCCACCACTGTACTCCTCATCGCCTATTCCACCCAGTCTATGTGGCACAAAATCAGCAATGGATTTAGCACACAAAGGACAGAGTTCTGGAACTGGATGTAATGTTGTGTCCAGTGACCAGCTGAGAAAAAATAAACATGGACATGGAGATGGGAATGATGGAAATAGAGTGTGTGATTCACATAGCAGTTGGAATGAACATAACACTGAACATCAGACGAAGAAAGAGGATCATGGAAACATTCAGTCATCAAGCCCAACATCACATTCTAGCCAGAATATGGCTCTTAAATCTATGATTGGTAATTCAAGTAAGCAACATCAAAATGCGTTTTCTTGTGATGTCAATGTACACTGTCATACTCCAGATGTACCAACCTCATCAGCTTCCACAACCCATGCCAAAGGTACACTTTCTGCTCAGAGCTTCCCTCAATCTCTTTCTTCTAAGTCTAATGCAATCCAACAAAAGCCAACAGCTTATGTAAGGCCAATGGATGGTCAAGACCAAGCACCAAATGAGTCTCCGGAACTAAAACAATCAGTGGAAACTGTCATATCTTACAGCGATCAGCCTTTTGGAGAACTGCCGGATGCAAAAATTAATGTACCTGCCTCCAAGGCTATCATAGCAAAGCTGACCATTCCCCAGGCAGAAGAGGCAAAGGTATGTTTTGATTTTAGTACAATTACAACAATTAATTGAAATATGCATTGCCTCATAAATCCAGGTATTGTTGGTATAAAGGAAATATATATGAAGGTCTCAGGTGTGCATTGAATCGTATAAAGTATGTGCCTGCCAAGTCAATTTTTATGATCATTTAAAAGCAGTGCACCGTAAATATTGTATTCATAGCTTGATAATGCTAATTATAGATGAATGCTGCAAGCAGATAGGGAAAAGGGAATTGTGTTCTATGGTATTCAAACTTGCCTCAGTAAGATTCCATAATCCACCATAATATTCCAACAATCACAATTCAAAATGTATATTGTAGCAAATCAAGCTGTTTTTATAGTTGATATTTCACTAGTCTTTTGGAATATTATGTAAAGATTCTTATACAAGATCAGCAGATCCTTTTTCTGCAAGAGTAGAAGCAATACACGTATGCACAGCATTGTTGAAATTATTATGATAGTAAGTAATTATTTGTTGCTATTGGGTGCACAGTTTGCACTATCCAATATTATTAAATATTGTTATACCTTCAGAAGTGTTCTTGCACACAGTTACTATTACCGTTTATAACTTGAGTTGCAGTCAGTAATCTAGTCTTGTAAATTTGCTTTAAATAGAACAAAAACATTAAACAATGCTCAGACCATTTATCCAAATTAAGTACAGCATTACAAAGTTAGTGCCAAATTTTAAAATGTGTTGTATATAACAGAATTTGTATTTCTAAATAATTATGTTAAATTGCCGAGGCAAACAATATATACTGTAGAATGCTGTAGATGAAAATCTTGTGTCTGTCTGCTATGGTAATAGTTACATTTGGAACTTTCCTGTTTCATTGGCACACTGCAAGCAAATATCATTTCTGCACATGATTCTGATTAGTGCTTTCAACTAGTTACAGAAGCAACAGTTATGGGCAAAGAGATGGTAATGTTACATTTTCCAGGATACAATTACAGTTGAGGTTGCCATCATTTTTTTTAAAAAAACAACTTTTACTCTTTGGAAAATAATTTTGTAAGTTGAAACATAGAGCAGTATCATAAGTTTCTGTCTCATGACATCTCATATTGTTGTATCTCTTAAAATAAATCTACACCCTAGTTGCATAACAACAACAACAACAAGATTCCATTTATTGAGCGCCTTTCACGTCGGGAGGACGTCCCAAGGCGCTGTACAGTTGGGTCAGGACCCGAGCATTGGGGGGAAATGGTCAGGGTGAGGGGAGGGAAGGGAGGGAGCGAGGAGGGGTAGAGAGTCGAGAGGGGAGCTGAAGGCACGGTCAAAGAGAAAGGTCTTGAGACCGGCCTTGAAGGAGGAAAGGGAGGAGGCGGCGAAGGCACTGGGGGATAGAGTTCCAGAGCCTCGGGGCTGAGAGGCCGAAGGCCCGGCCACCGATGGTAGGGCGGTTGGGGTGGGGGATGTGGAGCAGACTGGAGCCAGAGGAACGGAGGGTACGGGCGGGTAGGTAGGGGGATAGTAGGTCGGAGAGGTAGGAGGGAGCAAGGCCGTGAATGGCCTTGTAGTTGAGGGTGAGGATCTTGAATTCGAGTAAAATAAGTAAAATGTAATTATCTTAATAATTATGTGTGAAAGTTTGTCGAGCTATAATATTCCTAAGGCAAATAGAATTATATTGCACAGAAAGGTGAAAATCAATCCAGCACTAATTTATGCTGTCAGTGTTTAACATCTGCTAAATTGAACAACCATAAGCATTTCAGAAACTTCTGTGAATATTTATTTATACTGTATTTGTAATGGTGTATAATTTCTTCTTTGTTTAAGATTGTGAACTGAACCACTAGAAACCATTAATCTCTTCTAGTTTACAAAAAGTGGTCCTGATTGTACATTAGTGTTTTTCACTCCATTGGAGAACAAATGGAGGCTGATAGTCACTTATGATTTGGGGTCTTAACATTCTGTTGTAAATTATTAGCTTATTTCTACTGGTGGTTGAAATTAATGTGCAGATCAGATCTGCTGTTTCGATTAATAAATGCTGTAGATTTCTGGAAATATGTATTCTGAATATCTCCTATGAATATCTATCAAAGCTAGCCTACAACCATGTAGGTTGTTACCACAATATAATTATCATGAAAGACTAATTAAAATGTTAAGTCAGATCCAATGTTCTTCACATGGAAAACAGTTTTCCAAGTAATTATATTTTCTCCCTACTGTGGTTTTCCCATCCCGCACACCATATCAAGCCAAGAGGACAGTCAAGCTGTCTGTGCTGTACTATAATATAGATATGACATGTAATATAAATGGCTGCTTGACTTAATGAGTAACTTGGTGAGTGAGTGAATGAATGAATGTTGCTCAATTCTCTTCTGTTGAGATGTGCTTGGTTTCCCTATGATGCCATGAATAGATAAGAATTTAGGATCAAGATTATGCCAATCGATCCATCGAACTTGCTACACCACTTTATTAGTTTATGAACTGTCTATCTTCTAAACCCATTTTCAGCATGTTCTCCTATTGTAATTGCCTTTACATCCCAAAAATTCATATGGCCCTTCAGTTGGTTCTGTATCTATGGCCTTCTGGGGCAGTGGGCCCACATTCACATAACTCTTTGTATGATGATGTTTTCAGGATTTGTTTTAGATAAGACGAACAACTGAACCTTTTGGCGGGTGGGAGGATGAAAATTGCTGACTGTGACGTGTTAATTAATATCATTGAAAAATATGGCGAGTCAATGTTGTAATTATCAACTGATTCATAGGTGTGACCCTTCTCTCTCTCTTCCCCCCCAACCCCCCCCCCCCCACACACATACACACGCATATATAGTTCCGTCATAATATTTGGATCTAAAGCTATCTGTGTTATGAATGTGAAGCCAGCCACAAATTAGAATACTGATAGATAGGATACTAACTTATTTTTGATTTATTTGTTGACTTAAACCAGTATCCCGCTAAGCATTGCTCCAGTGCTCTGCTAACAAACTATCTAAAGTTCAGTTGGCAATGGGCCGAATCATTGTGATGAAAATGGAAAGGAGAAGTTACATCCACCGACCAGTCAATAATTAAGACATCAAATGGGCTCAATTTTCAACAATTTGCTGTTGAATACCAGTGTTAATTTAAACATCACAGGTCTCAACTTCACTCTAGGGAATTACAGATATGAACTTTTGTCTAGACCTTTGATAGAAATCACATTGGAGCTTGAATTCTATAGCTGTGCTGCTCTTAAATAGATGTTTTAAAAATGTTTGTTTTCTTCATGTTTCTTCGCCATCCATGTGACTGTAAGAAGTGAAATACCAGCTTGGAAATGCAGAAATTCTTTTTTTTTCTTCTTTCCCTCCACACCTTTTTGTTTTCTTTCAAAAGCAATGATGCTCAGACCTGGCTATGAGCATGTAACAACAACAACAAGATTACATTTGTATGGTGCCTTTCACGTCGGGAGGACGTCCCAAAGCGCTGGACAGAGTACAGCATTTCAGACCCGAGCTGGGGTTGGGGGGGTAGGGGAGTGGAAGGGGGGTGGCCGATGGCATGGTCGAAGAGGAGGGTCTTGAGGCGGGACTTGAAGGAGGCTAAGGAGGGGGCGAGTCGGAGTGATTGGGGGATGGATTCCAGAGATTGGGGGCAGAGTGGCTGAAGGCTCTCCCGCCAGTAGTGGGGCGGGTTAGTCAGGGGACATGCAGCGGGCCAGAGTCGGCTGAGCGGAGGGAATGGGCGGATTGGTAGGGGCTTAGGAGGTCGCAGAGGTCAGGTGGGCGAGGCCATGGAGGGCTTTGTATGTGAGGACCAGGATCTTGAACTGGATCCTCTGAAGGATAGGGAGCCAGTGGAGTCAGGCAAGAGTGGGGGAGATGGGGTCACAGAGTTTGGTGCGGGAGAGGACACGGACTGCAGAGGTCTAGATTATCTGCAGCCTGTGGAGGGAGGAGTTGGGAAGGCCGACAAGCAGGGCGTTTGCATAGTCGAGCCTGGAGGTGATGAAGGCATGAACAGCAGCCTGAGGGGGGAGGTAGTGGTGGAGTCGGGCGATGTTATGGAGGTGAGGCAAGACAGAGCGGGTCATGGCTTGAATGTGGGGGAGAAAAGACAGTTAAGGGTCAAACAAGACACCCAGGTTCCTGACTGGCTTGGTGAGTCATAGTGTGCAACCATGGAGGATGATGCTGCCAAAGCCTGAGGTGCTGAGGCGCTGGTGCGAGCCAATCAGGAGGGCCTCAGTCTTGTTCACATTCAACTGTAGGAAATTTGCCCTCATCCAGGACTTGATGTCCGTAGGCAGTCTGTCAGGACAGTAGTGGCCCTGGAGTTGAATGTGGAAGCAGAAAGATAGAGTTGGGTGTCATCCGCATATATGTGGAAGTTGACCCCATGTCTGCGGATGATGTCACCAAGGGGGAGCACGTAGATATTAAAGAGGAGAGGGCCAAGGGCAGAGCCCTGGGGGACGCCAGATGTGACAGTGCGGGAGCTGGAGGAGAAACCGTTAGAGGCAACGAAGTGGAGACAGTGAGAGAGGTAGGAATCGAACCAGGCAAGGGCAGATCCGTGAAGATTGAGTAAGCCAAAGTTGATGAGCAGCTTTATACCACATATTTGAGTAAAACCTTGTCTCAACTTTGTGAATTATGAAATTTATTCCAAATTCATTAGATAATGTGAGCACAACTACACAGGGAATTTCCTTGTGTAGGTGGCATGCACATGTGGAGCTCTCAAGCTGATTTAGATACTCTTAAACTTGGCAATGGGTTTCTGCAAATTGTCAGAGAAAAAAAGCTACTTTGAACTAGAAACACCAGCAATTTATGGCACCATTGCACTATTCCACATTCCTCAAGAGTGTCTTCAAAGTCACAGAAATGAAAGTGTGCTCTTATACCCTAAGGAACTGTTACATTCCATATGATTAAACCATTACTGGGATGTACTGCAACAACAACAAAATTACATTTGTATTTTGCCTTTCATGTCAGG